ATCTGTAAATATATCAATTTCATTTTGTATAGTTCATATGCTATTACAAATTAAAACCATATAATATATTTATATAAAATAAAAAATAATTAATTTTCAACTTATACATGATATTTATTTTTATAATCGTACATTCTACTTATTACATACGTTCTTCTTATGAAGTTTCATACATTATTATTAATTAATCCATAATATTATTATACTGAAATAAATCCCATAATTACGAAATATTCTTATTTTGTTTCATAAAAATTCTGTAATAACAATACAAAAACAAGATTAATTGCAATTGTAATATTTTTTGTATTTGTACAAAATATGTCTTTTCTCTCTTTTCTTTCTCCTTTTTTTATATGATATACAAAGTCTTTTTTGGTATTAATATTGCAGAATAAAATTTTACTAGAGCAATTTGATTTATTAATTATTTTTTAAGTATTTTTATAAGAAAGCAAAAACAATTGATAACGAGTATGTAATACAAAATAATATTAACTAGATTTGAATAATAATTGATGTAAAAGTAAAATAATATTGTTGTTAAAAAATTTTATCTTACAAATTCATATGAAACATACTTTATGAATATAGTTACAGAACAAAATATATTGAATTTATCAAGCGCTAGAATATTTTACAAACGGTATGATGTATTTATAATAGGCGAATAGTTTCATAAATTTTATGAATAGCACAAGTTTAAAAAATTGATGTAACTTTATAGAAGTTACCAATTAGAAGTGTTTTTATATGCGTATGTGTGTATATACATATATACATACATACATATATACATACATACACATACACACACACACATACACATATACACATTTTTGTATGTATAAGTATTACAACTTTTTGTAATAGTGTTGAAATATTTATTAATATATCATTATTAAATTATACTAATGAGCACTGAAAAAAAAGAGGGAGGCAGCAACGACGGCATGTTTCAATTATATCATTACTCTAATTCTTGTTTATCTCAAGAGTTGGAATAGATGTGGAAAAATGTTTAGGTAGTATGAAGAGTAAGAATGACTTGTTCTAAGACAAAAAATATTCAATTATACATGTTACAATAACGCTAAAAAATAAAAGTGCTTATCTTTATAACCACGATACATAGTATTACGTATTTTATAAATTCGAATTGCTGTTAAACATATCATTGCATAGAATCAATGATCATCAATGCTTCGAGAAATTTTTCTATGGTCAATTTTTTGCATTAAATAATTAGCAAATGAATAATTATGTTCTTCTTTCTTAAAAAAAAAAAGAAGATAGAACAAAAGTTATTTTATTCAACTCTATAACAGAGTTGGTGGTCCATAATTAATAATGCTTCACACCTCATTTTTTTTTTCTTTAATATAAACTGAAACTTCCACAATCTTTCTTATGTCTTCTTGTAATATCTTTAAGCAGTATAAAACTGCTACCATAAGATGTCCTTCTGGAATTAATAGATTTAACATTAATATACAAGCATAAATTTTTCAAATTATAATTTTCAGTTATATTTATGTAATTAATAATCATTATTATAAAAGAAATAATAAAAAGAACTTACTTTGGTTTTAGTTGCAAAATTACATTTCTCAGCAGCATCCAGATTTAGAAGATTCAATTGGACGTCCGTGTTCTATTTTCACTTTATTTGCTGGATCACTATTACCACTTGATGGAGGACCCACTCTAAGTTTTATTTCTGCAGCCATTGTCATAAAAGCTTGTTCTACATTCATTGCATTTTTTGCAGATGTTTCCAAAAATGGTATACCAAGTTGATCTGCATATTCCTATTTATAAAGTTTAAGATATTTATTAAGATAAGAATACATTTTTGACATTAAATTAATAACAAATATATAGGAATAAAAGAAACATTATGAACAAATTTTGATTAATTATTATTGATATATTTTTTTTTTATAGATTTCTTACTTTTGCTGTTGTATAATCAACAACTTTTTTAGTATGAAGGTCACATTTATTGCCGACTAACAACTTATTCACATTATCACAAGCATAACGATCAATTTCTTCGAGCCATTGTTTAACATTATTAAATGTTTCCTGATCTGTGCAGTCATAAACAACAATAATACCATGTGCACCTCTGTAATAAGAACTTGTAATTGTTCTAAACCGTTCTTGACCTGCCGTATCCCAAATTTGTAATTTTATTGTTTTTCCATCTAGATCAATTGTTCGTATTTTGAAATCTACACCAATAGTACTGATATAACTTTCTGTATATGTGTCATCAGCAAAACGAAGTAAAAGACATGATTTCCCAACTCCTGAATCTCCAATTAAAAGTAACTTAAACAAGTAATCACTGAAAAAAAATATTTACAATGAATAAATAAAATATAAATTATATTTAATAAATGCATTTTATATAATTTTATATAATTTTCATGTATAATTTTACAAATTTTTTATATAATTTATTTTACTTTTATTTTTTATAATTCATGATATTATACATATGTATCAAATTAAATATTGATTACATATTTATTTTAATTACTATTTAAAAAGAATTTTTAAATTTTTTAGAGTATAGAATAATGAATAAGTTCATTAAATGATTAATTTTTTGATATATATAAATATAAATAGCTTAATAATTAAAATTAAAATCAATTGATACAATTATAATCTATAGTCTAAACAATAAATAATATATATAAGATTATTATAATTAAATAAAAATAAGATTACATATTAAACTATTATTATTGAATATTTAAATAAAATGAATCATAAAAACATTTAAAAAGATTAAAAAAGAAATTTGTAAATATATATTAAAAATTAAGATTGACTTTTTTCTTTAAAATCATGGAAATATCTTCTAACAATACTTTTAAACAAATATATATATATATATATATATATATATA